CAACAACAACAAAATCATTTTAAGACTGTTCGCTCCTATCTGCTAACGTGCCAATCAATACGTATATCCTGAGCCCTCGGTACCCGCCCCGGTCGTCTTCGATGGTACCCCTTGGGGGCCTATCTTCCTTACCTGCCACGTGCATTTAGCGCAGCCCCTAAAACAAGCGAAGAGAGGACGGGTGGAAGGGGGAGGGAGGAGAATAGAGCACGAGAGAAATTAGCAGGAGGGGGGCAAGGAGCAGAAAACAAGTGGTAAAACCAGACGGGCAGATCGGGTGGGCAGACCCATAGCGAGCATGTCGGGAAGGCGGGCCCAGGCGACGAGGTTGAGCAGGCGGGTTGCTGAAGCGTGGGTCCTGCATGAATCGCGAGGAAGTCTCGAGCGATAGCGCGATTCCTAAGTAAATCGCGAGAAAGCCCACAGCGAAAGCGTGATTCCTGAGCGCCGACGGCGCATCGTCCGAATGAATTGCAATTAAGTCCCACGCGAGAGCGCGATTCGTACATAAGTTGTGAGGAGGTTCCGCGCGAGAGCGCGATTTAGGAATAAATGGTGGGGACCTATCAGACGGGAACCGTTGTTATTGTAAACCGGGGGCCAGGGGTCCAGTTTGAGCACCGTGACTTGCCCTGATAAAACACATGGCGCGAGCCCCGGGGGAAGCACTTCAATTGAAAAAACACAATGGTCACCGGAGAGGGGGATCAACCATAATTATTCTTCAGTTGTGAGAATTCAACAACAACAACAACAACAACAACAACAACAACAACAACAACAACAACAAAAACAACAACAACAACAACAACAGCAACAACAGCAACAACAAGCACAGCAACAACAACAACAGCAACAACAACAACAACAACAAACACAACAACCACAACAACAACAACAACAACATCAACAACAACAACAGCAACAACAACTGCAACAACAACAGCAACAACAAACACAACAACAACAGTAGCATCAACAACAATAACACCAAAAACAACAACAACAACAACAACAACAACAACAACAACAACAACAACAACAACACCAACAACAACACTCACAGCAGCAACAGCAACACTCACAGCAGCAACAACAACTACATCAACCACAACTACATCAACCAGAACAACAACGACAACAACAACGACGGCAGCAGCAGCAGCAGCAACGCGCGCGCCAGGTGCGCCTATCTTTGACAAGGAAGCCCTGGACATCAGGGGGGCAAGGCCCCAGGCGCAACACCTCCGTGTCCCCCCGAGGGGGTGCGGCGATCCGAGGGGGGATGCGGGGGGGCTCCAGGCTCCGGGAGCCTGCGACGGGGGCCGTCTGATGAGGCCGCCGCGGGGCGCGCCGGCCGGCCCGCGCCTGGGGCTCCTCTGCAGTGGAGGCCGGTCCACCAGAAGCCTTCCCAGGTTGAAGGGGCCCCAGGGCACACAAGTAGATACACACAAAGAAAAGGATTCCCCCTATGTTTCCATATCTTCTGGGTTTCTGTCTTCCCCCCCCACTTCCCATATGTTCCCATATGTTCTGGGAATCGACGGATAATTTTGTCTGTGTGTTTCTTCCCCTCCTGACAGGTGCCCTGGGTTTCTTGGGCTTCGGTGGCCTTGCTAATTATGGAAAGCGTGGCGGGCCCACACCAGAAGTGAGCGGGGGCCCTGGGGTCTCAGGGTTGCGCTTCCTTGTGGGAGGCGTCCTGTGGGCTGGCCTCCGCTGCGGAAGTAGGGTTCCAAAATTATTCTGAGACTGCCGAAAATGACCACAGGAGAGTCCGAAGAGAATCCACAGCTGGCGCGTCAAAGACCGAATGAAATCCTTGGACTCGGAGGGGCGATTTCTGGGATCCCCAATTCTGGGCCAGAGATGGCCCCAAGAGGGCGCAGGAAAAGCCGCTGAGCGGATACAGAAGGCCCTGGACGGTGCCTCAGGTAGCGCCCAAGACCTCGTGCGTGGCAGTCTCTGGGACCTGCGGGCGGGCGTGGAGCCGTCTGAACGGGCCATGGGACGCGTCAGAGGATCAGGAGGAGCAGGAGGAGAGGAGCAGGAGTGGCAGGAGGAGGGGGTAGCGAGACGAGGAGGAGGAGGAGGAGGAGGAGGAGGAGCATGAGGAGGAGGAGGAGGAGGAGGAGGAGGAGCAGGGGGAAGGGGGTGGAGGAGGAGGAGAGGGCGCCCAGGCCGCCGTGGATCCTCTGGGACGCACGCGGGGGGGTCCGCCTTCAGGGTATGCAGTGGGGCCTGTAGGGGCCGTCGTCGGCCCCTCTTGGCGTCTCCTTGCTCGGGACGGGGCTCTCGCTGGAACCTTCCTCCTCCTCCTCCTCCTCCTCCTCCTCCTCCTCCTCCTCCTCCTCCTCCTCCTCCTCTCCTCCTCCTCCCCCTCCTCCTCCTCCTCCTCCGCCTCCTCCTCCTCCTCCTCCTCCTCCTCCTCCTCCGTCGTCGGCCCATCTTGGCGCTTCCGTGTTCAAAACGGGGCTCTCGCTGGAACCTTCCTCGTACTCCACATGACCCGAGCCTTCAGACTGCGCGACAGCGAGCGACGGGTGGAAGACGGCGTCCGATCGAGGATGGGCCCTCGCTGGACACGTCCTTGAGCTCTCTGACTGCGTCTCTTCGCGTTCGACCTTCTCTTTGGACGCCCGAGATGGGTACGGAAAGAATGGGCACGATGCCCAACAGCAAATGTTGTCCCAAACCAACAGCGGCCGCTGTTGGGCAGGCGGCCGTCTGCCTCGAATGGACACAGGCCGCGGTGGCGTGGACAGCGAGTCCAATTCAGAACGAACAGGAACTGCTGTTGGGCATTGTACCCATTCATTCCGTACCCATTTCGGGCGTCCAGATTCTCGCAGAAGCAGCGGAAGGCCCATACTTTTCAAAACCGGTTTCCCGGCAGAGCCTTCGGAGGGCGGGGGGCGGGCGAAGGCCCTCTTCGCGCACGCCAGACGCGGGCACTGCGGGCTGCACGGCTTCCCCCGGGGCCGTAGGCGACCCGAGGAGGAGGAGGAGGAGGAGGAGGAGGAGGAGGAGGAGGAGGAGGAAGAGGAGGAGGAAGAGGAGGAGGAGGGGGAGGGAAGGAGAAGATGGAGGAGGAGGACATGGAGGAGGAACAGGAGATGGAGGAAGAGGAGGAGGAAGAGGAGGCGGAGGAAAAGGAGGAGGAGGAGGAGGCAGGAAGAGGAGGACGAGGAGGACGGGTCGCGTAAGCCCTTCGGAGGAACCCTCCAGTCGGGGCCAACCCGCGGCCTCAAACGCCCCGCCGCCCCAAGGAAGCACGAAAGCCGACAGACAGGACTACAGGCTTGGCTGTTGGCATGTGTGGTATTGTCCCAGGCGGGGCCAGCCCCGATATCGCGGCGATCGCCAGGAAGTAGGCCCAGGCAAGTTTGCCCCTGCTGCCTGCACGGTTTCCCCCGGGGCCGTTGGCGACCCGAGGGGGGGAGAAGGAGGAGGAGGAGGCGGAGGAGGAGGAGGTGGAGGAGGAGGAGGAGGAGGAGGAGGAGGGGGAGGAGGAGGAAGTGGAGGAGGAGGAGGAGGAGGACGAGGAGGAGGCCGAGGAGGAGGATGAGGAGGAGGACGGGTCGACTAAGCCCTTCGGGGAAACCCTCCATTGCTGCCCTTCCGTTGCGTCGCAATGACCCGTAGGACGAGATCGTCAGGGGGAAGGCCGCGCTGGCCACGTACCGTTCTTTCCAGATCAAAGCGGCCTCGCAGCTGTTGGGGCCGAACGTGGTAACACTCACACGGGCAAGGTGCGCGGGCCAGAAGGAAGGTTGGGAGCACCCCAAGCGGCGGAAGTGGTCCGCAACAGCTGTTATCCAACAGGCTCCAGGGAAGGCGGGGGCCAGCGAGAGCTGAGAAACTAAATCAAAGCATCTGAAATCTGACACCGATTTTCACGCCTTTATCATCCAGCGGCACAAAGAGGGCCCATATGGGCCGTGTATACCTTGATATACGAAGCAGGCGATCGCAAACTCGTACATCACACAGCTCACGAGCCGTGATCGTGAGCACGAGCTTCCTTTGAGTCCGAACCCTGAAGACCCAAATATTCTTAAAACTCTGACTGTGACGGGAGCTTGTGAAAACGGGCGGGTCATGGCGGGAAGGCTTGAGCGCCCCGTCGAGGAAGATGAGGAGGTATGCTACCATCCCCCGACCCGGCCCCCAAGACACCCCACGAGCACGGATCAATTAAGCTTGATAAGCGATCATTATCCTACACGCTCATGGGGAAGGCGGGGGCAAGCGAGAGCTGAGAGACTAAATCAAAGCACCTGAAATCTGACACCAGTAGTTATTCACGCCTTTATAATCCAGCAGCACAAAGAGGGCCCAGATGGGCCGTGTATATTTTGATATACGAAGCAGGCGATCGCAAACTCGTACATCACACAGCTCTCGAGCCGTGATCGCGAGCACGAACTTTCAATACCCGCCCCCTTTGCCCGGCAACGCCGTCGTTGTCGCAGCAGGACTGGGCGCGGCGGGAAGCTGCGACAACCTGAAAAAAAGAAATCAACGCCACGTGGCCAAAAAGAACTGCACCAAACCTGAGACCAGCGTCGGGTGGCTCTCGAGGTTTGTTTCGCCCTCAAACACCACTTGTGCTCCCGACGCTGCAAAAAGAACTGGTCATGCGGTAACGATGCTCGGCCAGCGTCGGACGGCTCTCGAGGCATTTCGCCCTCAAACACCACGCGTGCCCTCGACGCTGCAAAAATAACTGAGAATGCGATGGCGACTGCACGGCCAGCGTCGGGTGGCCCTTGAGGTTTGTTTCGCCCTCAAACAACACTTGTGCCCCCGACGCTGGAGAGCTCTACATCGGTCGTGGCGGCCAACGAAGCCGCAGACAAAAAGCGCCCAAGACACACTGCTGCTCACGCTGGCGCCACGCCTGATCATCGAACTGCGGGGTGGCGATCGCGCCCGTGGGCCGCCGCCCATAGGGCGCCCTCGCATGGCCCTCCTAGCCACCCCGAAGGGCGCCCCCATCACTCAGCCCACCAGCCCGCGTCCTCCCCGAACGTCGTCTCGTCCGAGAGAAGGCCCCCAGGGCTACCTTGGTCGTCATCGTCGGTCTGGTTGGCCTTCTTGGAACTACGCGCCCTTGAGCTCTTGATCTCCATCAGCTCGGCAGCAACGTCCTTGGCTGGGCTCTGCTTGATGGCGTTCTCGAGGGCCTCGGGGAGGCTGCCGCGCGGGCGTGGGCGCATCCTCAGGGCTCGCAGGATATCCGCCTTCAGGCCCCGCCCTGCTCGCACGCCCGACTCGCGGACAACCTCCGGCATTCTCGCGCGGAACTGGGTCAGGGCAAACGTCATGGAGTAGCGCTGGACACTGGACAGGGCCTTCCACCTCCCACGACGCCTGACCTGCCCGAGCGATGCGCACCCTCGGGCAGCGTCCTCGCTGGGGCCCGAATGGCGGATCCCATGTATGGGCGGCGCCCATGGCATGCCCAGCGCGCGGCAGGCCTGGTGCCATAGCTTCCGGAAGCGGACCTGGTCGATGCCGTAGAGCTCCTCGCCCTTGCCCGCCCCGAAGCCACGCGAGCCCAGGACTAGGTTAGCGACCGCGCCCCGCCGAATGACGGAGCCCTGGTCGACGCCCGTCTTGACTTCCCCCCGCTGCTCAAGACATCAAAGGCCAAGGCCATGCACTGGCCGTCCCACACGACGCCCCCGACCTTCAACATCCCATGTCCTGCTCTCGGCCGTAGACGTCGTACTGCGTGAGTGTCCAGACAGCCTCCACGTAGTGCCCCTGCTCGATCATGTAGATGGCGATCGCGTAGATGCCCCCCCCCCGGGAGTGGGCCACCCTCGCTCGCGCCAGCAAGCTTCTGCCAACTCTCGAGGCTTCTCAGGGCGATGGGGCAACTTGTTGCGCAGCTCAGACCAGATCACCAACATGCCGAACAGGACCACCGAGCCGAGGGTCGCCCTCTTGCGCTCGCCGTAACACTGGATATCCACGCAGTCTGCCAGCGCACGATCGACCTCCGACTCGGATGTAAGCTGCCAGCCTCGCTGGATGCAGAAATTGAGGAACTGCAGCACATTGGAGGCCCACTGCGAGGCGGTGGCGTCTGCCACTGAGTGCGTGAGCAAGCGCGCGAAGCCACCACCCAGCAGGCCGGCGTTCGGGTCCGTCGCGCAGCAGCCCCATGCCCAGGGGCCCCTCTTGGCCATTGGGGTCGCGCCCACGGGCTGCAGAGGCTCGCGGCCAGCCGTCGCGCGCCCCACCAAGTCGAAGGTGCCCGGGCGGCACCTCCCCTGACGTGGGCGGAGAAGCTGGTGTCACACGGTCGCTGTGCGCTCGCACTGTCTCGGGCACCGCCCCCGGGAAGCCCCCCCGGGACAGGCCATCCGCCACCTTCACCTCGGACGGCACGTAGCGGCAGGACCCGTAAATGCGAAACGCCAGGGCGATGGCCGCCGCCTGACGGCACAGGCGCAACAACGCCGAGGCGCTCGATCGGCCCTTCCCCAGCGCGCCCAAGGCCATCACGCTGCCGGTCAGGGTGAGGGCGCGAAGCCCCCACGACCTCGAGGACCTGGCCAGGTGCCTTAAGAGGCCCACGATGGCACGCGCCTCGGTGATGTTGGTGCGCTCGGTCTCGCGCCACTTGCCGAAGTAGAGGGGTATCCATCTCGTCAGCGGAAGCCAAGTGTGGGGCAGCGGGGGCGCTCGGATCCAATCTCCTCGTCGCATCTCCCCCCTCGATCTCCAAGGTCGCGATGGCCCCAACGTCACCGACGCGGGCGACCGCAGTGAGCCCTCGACGTCGGGCCCGAGCCTCTTCGCCCCCATGCGCACGAAAGCCTCGATGATGACCTCGCTGAGGGCCTCGCAAAACTCGGACTGATAGGTCTGCGCAGCAGCAGTACGAAAGGTCGGACCTCCTGGCTTCTCTCGGCCCTCGAGTGTAACCCGATGGCGCCCCTCGCGGTGGCAGGCAAGGCAGAGTCGAGCGGCGGCGCCCCCGCCGCCCCTGTCGAATGCGCCGAAGATGCCGACCATGGTCGGCTTCATGGAGGGGGCGCCGTAGCGGCATTGGTCCAGGTAGTTGGCCCATCCTCCAAAATCCCTGACGAGGTCCTTCAACTCCACAGGGCCCCAAATCGACGGGCAGGGCGGCCCCCCTGGGTCGGGCGGGAGCTCCGACGGGCCGACCCCGCCGGCCGTGCAGACCGCGCGGATCACCGTCAGCGCCGCCATGAGCGATTTGGCCTCCAGCTCGAGCCGCCGCTGCCCCCATGAGGTCAGCGCGACGTTCGCGCGCCCCCACGGCTCCGCACGCGCGCGCAGAGGGCGGAACCCATGACCTCGAAAACGGGCGCGGCTCCAGGTCGAGCACGGGGGCGACGCCAAAAACTCCATGGCAGTAGCCCTTGTCGACGAGCCTCACGACGACGCTCAGAAACACGGGGTCGGTGAGGTCGTGCTTCGGGTCGATGATCGCGCCCAGGGACCAGACCTCGATGAGGATGCCAGCGATCTCCGCGCGCCGCCGCAAGTGCTCCTCGAGGCCCCCTGGCCGCCGAACCCCCGCGAAGAGGTGGAGGAAGCGGAACGCGCGCACGTTCGGGCCACGCGCGACTGAGGCCGCGGCCTGCGCCAACTCGTCGGCGTCGTGGGCGTAGCCGCCGCAGCCCCCCTGCCAGGCGCCCTCCTCGGCGTTGGCGCAGAGGTCCTCGGCGGCAATGGTCCTGCCTCGCAGCTCGCAGTATCTGGACCCCGCGCAACTCTCCTCCACCGTTGCCTGGGCGACGGCAACCCCGCACCCTACATCGCTGGAGTCGGCCATGAAAGCCCGGCGGGCCCAGGGCGGCCCCGGGCAGATGACCATGAACGGGGCGCAGTAGGCAGCAGCGGCGAGCTCGGCCCGCGCCTCCGCGGACAAGCGAAACGCAGCGGCGGGGCTCGAAGGGCGTCGCATCTCGTGGTAGACCTGGTCGAAGATGGCAAGGCCCGTTCGCTGGAACACCGCTGCCCAAGCCCAAAGCCCGACGAGGCGCTCCAATATGGCCGCTGCCCAGCAGGATCTCTCCACCGAGGCGAGGGTCACGAGGGCCAGGCGACAAGTCTTCAACAGGCACAACCCAATCACATATGGGCGGCCCCTCAGGACAGCCCCCAGAGACCCGAGCCCCTCGCCCTCGCCCCCCCCCCCGTGGACCGCGAGGCCCACGGACTCCAGGCAGGACTTGACCTTCGCCGCCATGCTCGACACCAGCCCCTTCTCGCGGCCCTCCGCGCTCGCGCTGCTCGCCATCACGCCGCAGCCGTCCATGCAGGCCCAGTCGAGCGCCTCGCAGACACCAGCATCGCCGTGGATCTGAAGCGCCGGGGACCCATGCACCATACGAGCGCGAACCGAGCCTTCGCCGAGAGCCGTCTCCATGCACGCCTGCAGGGCAGAGCGCGCCAGGAACGGCGCCCACGACCACCCCATGACGAGCACCTTCAGGGCCAGGTAGCCCGAGTCGGCGGGCGCCTCGACGTCGACTGCCCGCTCGGCCACGCACAGCACGAGCTCGTCCACGCCAACCTCGCCCAAGCAGAAATAGGGCCAGCACTGCGGGGGCGTCTCCAACCTGTAGAACATGTCGGGCATGTCGCCGACCGCACAGTAGACGCGCCCCTCCACCTCCATGTTGGAGAGGTCCAGGCTCGTAAATGAGGCGGGATTCCCGAGCGGCACGTAGGACGGCCGCTCCCAGCGGAGGTTGGCCGGCCGCTCGCCCCAAATCGCACGCACATGCCGCTGCAAGACCAGGTCGCCGTCCACCTCCGACTCCGCGTACTTCTTGATGACCCCGAGGAGCGGCACCGACTCCTTCTTCTCCATAGTGAAGGTCAGCACGCCGCCTCTCCAGAGTCGCCCCGCCAGGCGCAAGCGGGCCCCACGAGGCTTCAGCGCGGGGTCCCGGTGGACGACCTGGCTCTCCAACTCTCGCACCATAACAGAATCTGCTCGCCTCGGCACGCGGCCCTCCACGTCCGAGAAAGACTCGACGGCAAGGAGACAGATGTCGACCAGCTTGACGGGGACGGTCCCAGGCGCAGGCAGCGCCAACTCGTCCACGTCGACTGAGCACATCGCGCCCTTCGGCAGCACGCGGCGACCCTTCGAATCCACGCCCAGGGACTCGGCGACCCCCTCGCCCTCGCACGGCGAGGCGCGGCCAGCGAGGACGCGCTCGACGGCAGCGCCCAGGTCCACGTCGACGTCGTAGATGTGGCCCTGCCAGGAGGCCCGCGAATCCAGAAGCTCCAAGGCCGTCCTCTTCTGGAGCGAGGTCGATCGCTCCCACGGAGCCGCGGGCCCCAGCCCGGCCACCGACCCCACCGCCCCCCGCGAGAGGGAGTGCAGGACACGAATGGGCCCTTCGGTCAGAGACCTCACCTTCTTGATGGTGCCAGGGGGGGCGGACTCCACGCCGTTGGCCACTGCACCCCAAGGGGGCAGCGCCAGACGTCGCCATGGCCAGGGTAGTGTAGCTAAAGAGAAGGATGCAAGCCACCAGGCGCCACGCAATCAGCAGGGCGCCAGCAGCTCGAAGGGGCAAAGGAACCGAGCCGCCAAGATCGCCGAACATAGGTTTTGCCCGCGCGCGCGGCCGCTGTCGAAGCAGACGGAGCGCCGAAGCGCCAGCGCCCGCGCCTCGGAGCCCGCCTTTTGCAGTCCTCCTCCTCCTCCTCCTCCTCCTCCTCCTCCTCCTCCTCCTCCTCCTCCTCCTCCTCCTCCTCCTCCTCCTTTTCAGTCTTCCCTCCTCCTCCTCCTCTCCTCCTCCTCCTCCTCCTCCTCCTCCTCCTCCTCCTCCTCCTCTCTTCCTCCTCCTCCCTCCTCCTCCTCCTCCTCCCCTCCTCCTCCTCCTCCTCCTCCTCCTCCTCCTCCTCCTCCTCCTCCTCCTCCTCCTCCTCCTCCCTCCTCCTCCTCCTCCCTCCTCCTCCTCCTCCTCCTCCTCTCCTCCTCCTCCTCCTCCTCCTCTCCTCCTCCTCCTCCTCCTCCTCCTCCTCCTCCTCATCCTCTCCTCCTCATCCTCATCCTCATCCTCATCCTCATCCTCATCCTCATCCTCATCCTCCTCCTCACAGTGACGTCCACGTAGAAAGCTGTCAGTCCTCCTCCTCCTCCTCCTCCTCCTCCTCCTCCTCCCTCCTCTCCTCCTCCTCCTCCTCCTCTCCTCCTCCTCCTCCTCCTCCTCCTTCTCCTCCTCCTCCTCCTCCTCCTACTTGGCGCCCTCGGAGCCCGCCTTGAGCAGATGCTTCTGGAACGGCGCCTTCTGCTGCAGCCGCGCGGTGAGATCCTCTCGACGCTCGGAAGAGACCCCCCCGTCCATCACGGAGCGCCAGTCCGGCTCGCTCGCCAGGCCCCAACGCACCTTCGACATCCGCATGTTGGCTGATGTACCGCGGGGCTGCTTCCAGTCGGACATCGCGCGCACATCCCTGAACGCCCGCTTCATCGCGCAGACCCTCGAACACAGGATCTCGCAACCAACCGTCGTGATGAAGTCGGGAGAGGCCTCCAGCATGCGGTCCAAGGCCATGCAGTGTAAGAACATACCGTGGCCGATGTGATTATTGTAGAGCTCCTTCTGCTTGACCCAGTCCGCCGCGAACTTGCCCATGCTGCCATGCTTGCCGTAGGTCTGGACTAAGAGGTCGGGGGCGACGCGGGCCGTCAGCCGCGGGGGCAACTCGAACGTCGGGGCCGACTTCAGCTTCGTCAAGTTCTCCATCAGGCGGACCCTCGGATCCTTCAAGGACTCGCGCAGCAGCCCGATGTTCACCCCAACCTCCTCCACCGAGACCTCGTCCAGGTTGATGGTCGGGGCTGCTATCGATCCCGCCGTAGCTGCCGTCGACGTCTGGTCCGCGACCGCGTGGCGAGCTCCTGTCGCACGGTCTGCCAGGATGGTCTTCTCGACCTGGTCCAGGTGGTCCATCATGCGGTCGACGTGCATGCCCTCGTCGGCAGGCGATGGGATGCGCTCCCAGCTGCCCGCACTCGACCCTGGACTCCACGCAGATGACCCATCTGAGCGGCAAGGGCTGTCTCCCCCGCCCCGAGCTGAGTTCCCCTCGGTCTCCGCCTCTGCACGGCGACGGCCTCGACGATCCCGGTGCATCTCCTCCATCAAGTCCTGCATCATCTTCCTCATCTCCGAGACTTCCTTGCTTCCCTCTGACTCCGAGTCCGACTCGTGAACCGAATGCCCAGCCTCCCCATCGCTGCCCACGTCGCTCCCTGTGGGGCTGGCGCCGCCGAACCTGGGTAAGCCACGTCGGCAGCACGAGCTCCAGAGCACGGGGGTGAAAGCCATCTGGAAGGAGAGAAGCAGCATCGGCAACTCCAGGCGACCGTCCTGGTAGAGGTCGTAGAGGTAGGCCCTGAAGTCGTCCAGCTCCATCAAGAATGTATGCGTGTCGTCTAGCTTCTCCACCATCCACTTGGCCCAGTCCCAAGCACGGAAGTACAACGCCGCCCTCCAGGCGAAGAAGATCTGGCCTCCGCTGGTGCCCCACGATGACGTCGCCCACATGGCGACCGCAGCACTGCGAGCCCACCCAAGCAACGAAACCCATGAGCGCCAGCGTGCGGCGCCAAACTCCATACTAAACTGCTTCTCGGTGCCCGCCTCGATCGCCGCCGTCTTCTCGTCGGCGGACAGGGCGGGGAAGTGGGCGTAGGTGGTATTCGGCTGTCGCTTGGCGGTGGTCCGAGAGCGATCCTTGAGATCGACGGAGCCCAAGCTTCGGTCTAGCCGAACGAAGATCCACCGCATGTCGCCCTTCATCTTGGGATACCTTCATCTTGGGATAGAGCCACATGAGCGTCAGGACGACCTCGCCCACGTTGCGGCACATGCGACTCCATCTGTGCACTGAGCTCATAGACAGGCCAACGTACACGGTGAAGGTCAGCCTTGGTGAGATGCGCTCGTAGCGCGAGAGAGGGTCGCTCGCGTTGGCGGCAACGATCGGCGACTCGAGGGCCCACTCCAGCAGCCCTGTGTCGCCCAGGAAAGAGAAGGCGAGCCCTATGGCGAGGGCCCGACGCCACGTGCAGTGAGCCTTGCGCGAGCAGCCGCTCGCGGGGTAGCAGCACGTACAGTGTGGGTTGGCTGCAGCCCACCTCGCGAACGGCCTGAACACAAAAGGCTTGAGCGTCCCGTCGAAGAAGCGAGGAGGTATCATGCCATCCCCCGACCCGGCCCCCAAGAAACCCCACGAGCACGGATCGATTAGGTTTGACAAACGATCACCTGCGACAGATCCACAGCAGAGGTGGAGAAGGTGGTCACGCGGCTGAGGCGCGCCATGCTGTTGGGTAGTCGCGGGGGCGGGGGCAGGAGCGGCAGACGCCGCCAGCAGTGCCCCCTTAGGGCCTGGGGAGGCGGCCGCCCCGGCGGTCCTGGGGCGGGGGGTCGTGCCCACTGGTGGGGCCGCAGGCGAGGTCCAATGCGCATGCGTGGGCGGCGCCGCCTGGGCGGCGGCGGCGGAACTCAGCAGAAGGTCTCGATCGACACGCTGCGGCCATCCAAGGGCGAGCTCTCTCGGGGGCGAAGGGCCCCGAGGATGAGGCTCCGCCAGCCCTCTGCCAGACGGAAGGACGACAACATGCTACGAGCTCTGCCCGCGGGACACCAGCTCGACGATGCGGTGCTTCAGGTGGTCCACTGACGGCTCGGAGCTCCTCCAGTCGCCGCAAAGGGATCAGAGGAAGCCTGGGCGGCCGGGGGCGGTGCCAGGGTGGGGGCCCTGGGCGGCCATCCCTCCAGCCGGCGGTGAAGCGGGCGCGGCGCGAGAGAAGCGAGGAGGGGCCCTCGGCGAAGCGAGGCCCAGGCAGCGCGCTCCCGCGAGGAAGGGGCGCGGGAGCGCGACAAACGAGGCGGGGCGGGTCGAGGCGGGGCGGGGGGCGACCCCGCCAGTGGAGCTCAAGGAAGGCCGTCCAGGCCCAGCGTCCCAGGCGGCTGCGGGAGGGGTCTAATGGGACCACACCCATGGGGCGTCGAGGCCAGCACGCTCCAGGCCGGCACCAGAGTCGTCGTGGGGCGGGCCAGCGCCACCAGCTGGGGGGCGCACAGGGGGCGCCCAGGAGCGGGGCATCCCAGGGGAGCTTTTCCACCGGCTCAGGGTCTCTCTCCTGCTCGTCGTCATCCAAGTCCGAGGCAGCCACCTCGGGAAGCCCATGGTCCGCCTCGCGGTCCTCCGAAGTGACAGCTGCAGGGGCATGGGGGTACTCAAAGCATCGGGGGCGTTCAAGAGGGGGCGTCCAAGAGGGGGGGCGCAAATTCATGGCCCGAGGCGCGTGCGCGGCCGAAGAGACCAGGGAACGTATTGACATCAGAAAAGGGGCGCATGATGTCCGCACCTTCTCCAGTCATCACCCCCCTTGGCCGCCCCCGAAAGCAGGGCCGCAAGTCCGCGGGCTGGGCGGAGACGACGAAGCGTTTCTGGAGAGCATGGAGAGGGGCGCCCGCGGGGGGATCCGGTAGCGCGGCGCAGGCAATGACCCAGATACGCCGCGCAGAGGAGAACTGGCGAAGGACACGCACGCACGCATGCGCACGCGCAGGCACACACACACACACACAAAAAAAAAAAACACACACACACACAACAAAGAGAACAAGACCAACAAAAACTTTCACAGCCAGGGTCCAGCATCCGCAAACAGCGTTTCTAGGGCCCGGGTGGCTCGAAACACTGCTTGTGCGTCATCGTCGTCATCCTGCTCCTGATCGGCCTGCACTCTCATAGTCATCATTGTCGTCGTCGTTGCAGACGTCGTCGTTGCTGTCGTTGTCCTCTACCTCCACCTCCTCCTCCTCCTCCTTCTCCTCCTCCTCCTCATCATCATCCATTCCTTTTCCTTATAGATAACTTCTCTCTGTCGCACCACGAGGCCAGTTTTTGGGGCGGGCCGGGCGTTTCGCCTGAGACCTCCTCACCATTGATGACTATGAGGCTTAAGCAGTGGCAACAGCTTCACAGATGGAGGGCGGGTCGTTTTCAAAATGTGGCTCTCGCCTTGGCGCCGCGCACACTCGCTGTAAAAATGTGCAAGCGTTTCACGAATTGCATGCGGCCCGTTTTCAAAATGCTGCTCTCGCGTGTGCGCCGTGCACATTCTTTGTAAGAAATTGCAAGAGCTTTGCGGATTGAGGGTGGCCCGTTTTCAAAATGCAGCTCTCGCGTGCGCGCCGCGCACATTCGTTTTAAGAATTCGCAAGAGCTTTACGAATTGAGGGCGGCCCGTTTTCAAAATGTGGCTCTTCCCTTAGCACCGCGCATATTATGTGTAAGAACTTGCAAGGGTGTCACGGATTGATGGCGGCTCCTTTTCACAATGCGGCTTTCGCTTTAGCGCCGCGCACATTCGTCCGAAAAAATTGCATGAGTTTCACGGATTCCCGTGATCAACGTACCGGAAATGGCGCTTTGGCAGGACTCTGGATTATGCGGGCGCAACAGTTACGTTGATTCGCGATGCTGAGGTCCCAAGAATGGCGTTTTGGTGCGATTCCGGATCGTCAAGACGCAAAAGTCAAGTTGATCCGTGGCGTTGGAACCCCAAGAGCAATGCTTTGACATGCTCCAGGGTCTTCAAACTGTTGTTTTCCAACGAGGCAGTTCCCTCAATGGAAATGAACCGCTCGCTGTAGGGGCCTAGAAAGATGGAGCTTGGAGGGAGGGTTTATTCCAACATCGTTGATGACTCTTGGATTTACGCTGGTCCTTTCCTCCTCCTCATCCTCCTCGTTCTCCTCCTCCTCCGCCTCCTTCTCCTCCTCCTCCTCCTCCTCCTCCTCCTCCTCGTCATCCTCTTTCTCGCCCTTCCCCCTCCCACTCAATCTCCTCCTATGTTCTCCTCATCTCCTCCCGGTATTCCTCCTCCTCCTCCTCCTCATCCTCGCCTTTCTTACTATTTCTCCTTCTCGACTTTCTTATCCCTTCACTCTCACTCCTCAGGCCCGTGGTGCTGCTGTTCCTCCTGAGGATCCTCGCCCCGCTTTGCCCCACTGGTTCTCCTCCACACCCTCCCAGCTCCCGCCCGAGAACTCCTTACAAATGCCTGCTCTCGCCCCGGCGCCGGCCACTTGCGTGCTCCCTCGTGCCAGGGGCGCAGGTGCCACTCCAGGAGCACACTTCGACACAGAAGGCGTGATCAGATTCGTCGTTTGGTCCTGTCCCCTCCTCCATCTCCCCCCTCTCACTCCAATTACTCCATATGCATACTTTTCCTCTCTCTCTCCCCGGATCCGGTGCGAGCGCGGCGCGTTTCCTCCCGCATACTTGCTGTGTCTTAGCACATAGGATTTCA